TCTACAGCCCTCAGAATCGAAGAAAATTTTTGTTAACTATGCCTGAGATAAGGGACTGATAGCCAGAATACACAGGGAACTCAAGTGGCTTACCCAGAAGAAAATGATGAACCCAATTAAAGTTTGGGAAAATGAGCTAAATAAACAACTCTCTAAGGAAGACATATGAACAGTCGAAAAGCATATAAAAAATGCTCAACATCCCTCATCATAAAGGAGATGCAGATCAAAACCACAAAGAAATACCACCTAACCCCAATCAGAATGGTGAAGATTAAAGAAGAAGAAGAAGAAGAAGAAGAAGAAGAAGAAGAAGAAGAAGAAGAAGAAGAAGAAGAAGAAGAAGAAGAAGAAGAAGAAGAAGAAGAAGAAGAAGAAGAAGAAGAAGAAGAAGAAGAAGAAGAAGAAGAAGAAGAAGAAGAAGAAGAAGAAGAAGAAGAAGAAGAAGAAGAAGAAGAAGAAGAAGAATGATAAGTGCTGGTGAGGATGTGGTGAAAGGGGAACTCTCCTGCATTGCTGTTGGGAATGTAAATTGGTCCAGCCACTGGGGAGAACAATATGGAGGTTCCTCAAGGGCCTTCAACTAGAACTACCATATGATCCAGCAATTCCATTCCTGGGTATCTATACAAAGGACAGCATAGCGTTCAGTCAGAAAAGCACTTGCACAACTATATTTATTGCAGCATTATTCACGATTGCTAAGACATGGAACCAACTCAAATGTCCACAAACAGATGAATGGATTGAAAAAGTGTGGCACATATACCCCATGGAATACTATTCAGCCATAAAAAAACAAGACCCTGGCATTTGATATAAAGTGGATGAACATGGAAGATTATTGCTAAGCAAAGCAAACAAGAGAGACATTGTGTGTCCCCAGTTAATATACACCAAATGTCTACGTTCCATGGCAGAAATTGAAAGATTAAATGATATAAAAGCATGGAGAACAGCTGTGGATACTGTTATGGATACTGGGGTCAAAGTGAAAGGAGAGTTGGAAAGGGGAAGAGTGCAGGAAGGGAAATTTGGGAACAAATGGAGAAAACATTTGTGGGTCAACAGATATGATTTGTTGCCTGTTAATGATGTGTTGTATGGTATTCTCAACTCACCTGCTGTGTGGTGTATATCATGTTGGGTAAAATCTCTGTACAATCTAAATGATATGTAATGATTGAATGTATACATAATAATAAATAATAATTTAAAAAGATAACTCAAGCTGGGCATGTGTGTGTGAATGCCTAAGATTCTGAGAAGAGAATAAAGAAGGGATTGTGGTATGGCCATTCCCCCTGGGGGGTGATTTCTTGTTTTTTGTCTCTCCACCTCTTTTCTCTCCAGTGAGCACATGCACCCTATAGCAAAATATCTCTCTCAACAAAAAGATTAAAATGTAATTTCAAAAAATACCTGATAGGGAACCAGCAGTTAGCGTAATGGCTATGTCGCTGGACTCCCACGTAGTCGACCGCGGTTCGTGTCCTGGACCCGGTGGCTTAAAAAACTCACGCCGGGCGCGTGTGCGTGCGTGTCCAAGATCCCAAGAGGAGAATGGAGGAGAAGGGATTGTGGCATGACCATCCCCCCTGGGGGGTGATTTCTCGCTTTCTGTCTCTATGTCTCTCTCTGTCTGTCTGGCGAGCACACGCGCCCTACAGTGAAACTCTCTCAAAAAAAAAAAAAAAATACCTGATACACATTGCCTGTACCTAAAAGGGGCTCAAAAAATGGGAACTACTATTGTGATTATTTCCAATTTTTTAATTTGCTATAGGATGCATGCTCTCACTGGAGAGAGACAAAGGGAGTGAGAAAGCACTCCCAGGGGAATGGCCATGCTGCAATACCTTCCCCCCATTCTCTTCTAGGGATTTTGGGCACGCATGCACATGTACTCGGTGTGATTCCCGAGCCATCAGGTCTGGGACTGTAACCACAAAGTCAGCCTTGTGGGATTCAGCTTCCCCACTACCACCTGCTGGCCCAATATATTTCCAAGCCTCCTACTGCAGTGTATTTCCTGTCAAGGCTTTCTGATCAAATCAAAACATCTACACTTTCACACCCCCATACTGGGTCAGGTTAACAAATGCACTTGCTCAAATCTAATACAGAATTTTATGTGGTAAATTAGAAAATCTAAGCTGGTTCTAGTAAACAGCCTGTTGTGAGGAGGCCCCCAACTCTCTCTCACTGGGCCATGGAGTAGACAGCAACAAAACACAAGATGTGTCTGGCGCCACTGCTGGCCTTAACAAAACTGTCGTTGGCAAACTCTAACCTATGGGACTTCTCACGGGAAAAGGGATGGACCTTGAACTTGGAGGAAGGACTATTTGTGTGATCATGCTTTCAACCAAACTCGGAACAGCCTTTCTACCTAACTGGATACACCACGACTCTCCCCACATAATGGAAGAAATGTTTTCATGACATTATCCATTACTAAGCTCACAGGCTACAAATCAATGGAACGGAATTCAAGCGCTCTGACTCATATTTCTGAAATGGTCCAACTGTGACCATAACCAAACAACACATCAGCCCTTGCACATAAGCACCCACAATTTGCCACCCCATAAGTTCTGTCGGGTTTCTGTTTCTTTTTTTAAACACCAGTCTTGCCCTTCTTCTAGTAGGTATATAGGTAGAAAAATAAATGAAGTCAGCACTCTTTACATCTCCGTAGAATAAACTGACTCAAATACAGTGCGTGGTTATTTGCAAGGCTATAATTTTTTTTAATGACAGATTTTCCTAAAAGAAACCACTATAACATCTGTCCAAGTACTCCAGGAGAAAACAAAAAATACATAAAGATTAAAAGTCTATTACTTTAACAGCACATTGCCAAACACGGACAACTAGGATAAATGCCAAGAAACCTTAAAAATAACTTTAAAAGATGCAACGTTCAAGTCATTCAAACGTGTAGGTTCCACAAAAAACAGAAAAACAAGTCCGAGAGCAGTTCTACTTGTGCATGGTAGGAACTCGGACTGTACTTCATCAAAGTTCGTTCAGGTGTCTAAAGCCAATAGGTGTCTGAGCAGAGTTTGTTTCTCTTCTTTGCTTAAAGATGTGTACACAGATTCGAGGAGAGGAGAATGTTCCAGATGCTGATGTGAGCACGGCAGGCTTGGTTCCCCTTGGATAAAGTATGAAGGCAGATTTAGTTGACTCGAGCTTTATCAGTTTCCCTAATGAGAAGGCTTATTATACATGCTGCAACAGACAAGTTACTTGAATTTGTCATGCTAAGTATTTACAGCTATTTTCGTAAAGTGAGCTCAGTAACCTGGCGGAATAAAAAAGGTGGCTGTTAAATTATTGTATAACCTTTTACAACTTGAATAACTCTGTGGGTTAATGATGCTGACACTCAAAGCCCCTCAAACACACATTAACAAGAAATTATTTACTGCATGAAGAGGCACACATCATATAAAACGTATGTTGCACGGA